AGGCAGAGGCAGGCGGATCTCTGTGAGTTCGAGGCCAGCCTGGGCTACCAAGTGAGTTCCAGGAAAGGCGCAAAGCTACACAGAGAAACCCTGTAAAAAAAAAAAAAAAAAAAAAAAAAAGAAATAATCTTGGGTTGGAGAGATGGCTCAGTGGTTAAGAGCACTGACTGCTCTTCTAGAGGAGCCTGGTTCAATTCCCAGCCCCTACATGGCAGCTCACAACTGTCTGTAACTCCAGTTCCAGAGGATCCAATACCAATACCCTCACACAGACATACATGCAGACAAAACACCAATGCACATGAAATAAAAGTTAAAAAAAGAAAATCTTTAGGGGACTTGAGAGAGAGCTCAGTGGTTCAGAGCACTGGCTGTTCTTTCAGAGGACCAGCTTTGACTTCCAACATCCACGTGGTCACTTACCACCATCTATGAATCCAGTCCCAGCTGGGTCTGACAGCTTCTGTGGGTACTGCGCACATGTGATACACATACATACATGCAGGCAAAACACCCACCCACACACACACAAAACCCAGTCTTATCATTTTTTAAATCTTATAGGGTGTTATTAGGCCCTAGAAGATCTGCTGTAATGTTTGTCTGATGGCCAGGGATGTCCAAGTTGTAACCGTGATCTGTCAAAATCAGGAGTCCCTTGGGGCTGGAGAGAAGGCTCAATAGTTCCGAGACCTTAGCATTCTTGCACCAGACTTGGAGTTGTTCCCAGCAACCACATGGTGGCTCACAGCCCTCTGTAACTCCAGTGTCTGGGGAGCTGATGACCTCTTCTGACCTCCACGGGGCACTTGCATGTATATGGTACACACAAACTCATGTAAGCACACACACATACACAGAATAGCAAATAAATAAATCTTTAAAAGGGTCGGGTGGTGGTGGCGCATGCCTTTAATCCCAGCAGAGCCGGGTGGATCTCTGTGAGTTCGAGGCCAGCCTGGTCTACAGAGGGAGATCCAAGACCGGCACCAAAACTACACAGAGAAAACCTGTCTTGAAACCAACTCCTTAAATAAATAAATAATCTTAAAAAGGAAAAAAAAAAAAAAGATCAGGAGGAGTCTGCCTATTGACCCAGGATCTGAGTGGATATGATTAGTGTCTCATGGCGTCTCCCTAGGAAGGCTGTGGGAGACTCAGCTCCTTGAATGACTCAAGACAGCTTGGAGTAATTGAAGGGTTTTTAGTGTGGGTTCTTTTTCAGCCTTCCAAGATGCAGTAAGAAATGCTTTTGTCTCAGTCTCCCCAGGAGACTGTCCCGTTCAGGGCCACTCATGGGGATTGCTTGCCATCAGTAGAGGGACAATTTCCTCCCTGTGCCAGTCTCCTTCAGAATCTGCCTTGTGTGTTTTATCCCCACACAGTTTTGCAGCCCGTGAGATTGTAGTCTTCTGTGAGGGTGAAGGTTAAACATGAGTATGCCTTTTCATGTCCATGTCAAATCACAGGACTGGGCTAGTTCCCAGAAAATATCTATTAATCAGGAGCCTCTCGGGTCAGTTTTAATTTGCCTTCAGTCTTGGACCTGGTTGGATCTTTTCTGGGGTTCTAGGTATGCCTCTCTCAAGGGCAAAGGAGAGGGGAGAGGGGAGCCTGGAGTTTTGGTTCCCCTAGATAGGGAGGGCAGGAAAGAGACATTGTAGGTACTCCTTCCTAGATGGAAGCCTTTTCTCCTCTATGGGACAGTTTCTTTCCCAATGTGGTGTATTTAAAGGCTTTGGGGATTGAGTCAAAATCATGGCTAGAATTCATGAACTCATGTGGTTGTTTTGTTTTGTTTAAGAATTATTTTTATTTTCTGTGTCTGAATATTCTGTGCGCATGGATGTATGTGTACCATGTGTGTTCCTGGTGTTCATGGAGGCCAGAAGAGGGCGGCACATCCTCTGGAACTGGAGTTAGACAGTTGTGAGTTTCCATGTTGGTGCCCTCTGCTAGGGCAGCAAATACTCTTGCCAACTGAGCCATCTCGCCAGCCTCCCATGCAGCTTAAAAAATTGTTTTGATTTATTTTATTTTGTGTGTATAAGTGTTTTGCCTGCACATGTATGTGTGCTCCATGTGCATGCCTGGTGACTGTAGAGGTCAAAAGAGGGCATCAGATCTCCTAGAACTGGTTGTGAGCCACCATGTGGGTGTGGGTAACCGAACCCAGGTCCTGTGAAAAACATTAAGTGCTGAGTCATCTCTTCAGCCCCTCGTGTCATTTTTTTTTTTTAAATATAAATCAGGGTTTGTTTGTTTGTTTTTTTTCTCAAAGCAGAGAAATCTTGCATATATAGAAGGTCATACTCATACCATTTCCCTCCTCCCAGAGAAGCAAGTCAGGTTGTAAATATAAACTGATAATTAATACTTCCCTCTGGGGGCCATTCCCCCCCCCCCCACTTCCCATCTGGTATTCTGGCCAAGCTTGAACACAGAAAAACACTATCCTTTATTATTATTATTTTTTCCTTAGGATCTGGAGATAAAAGTGGTCTAAGTTGGGTTTTTTTTTTCTTTCCTTTTAAGATAGGGTCTCTTTACATAGTCCTGGTTGTCCTGGACCTTACTATGTAGACCAGGCTGGCCTCCAACTCAGATATCTACCTGCCTCTGCTGGGATTAAAGGAATGAGCCACCATAACCGGCTGGTCTGAGCTCTTAAGCGGACACTGAGTCGTGGTTTGAAAGAAAATGGCCCCTAAAGAGAGTGGCACTATTAGGAGGCGTGACCTTATTGGAGTAGGTGTGGCCTTTTTGGACAAAGCGTGTCACTGTGGGGTGGGCTTTGAGGTCTCCTTTGCTCAAGCTGCATTCAGTGTGACACGGTTCACTTCCTGTTGTCTGCAGGTTCAAGATGCAGCTCCTTCTCCATTATCAGCTCCTTCTCCAGCACCATGTCCGCCTGCATGCCACCAAGTCCCTCCAAGACGATAATGGACTAAACCTCTGAAACCGTAAGCCACCCAATTAAATGTTTTCCTTTATAAGAGTTGCTGTGGCCATGGTGTCTCTTCACAACAATAGAAACTCTAAGACACACTCCAAAGGAGAAGAAACAAGGGTGGACTTTGACTCTGGGTCGCTTATATTTTGTGGTGTTCTGTGGAATCCTGGACAAGCTCCTAAGCTGTAATAGTTGTTATAGTTGTGGTCTGTGACTCCAATACCATGTCCTCCAGATGATGAGGAATTAAGCCCACAGATAGAAGAAACAGAACACTTGGCCCTTGGCCAACATGTTTATTAGAAAGTTAAAGAGAGGGGTTGGGGATTTAGCTCAGTGGTAGAGCACTTGCCTAGCAAGTGCAAGG